AACAGCACCGCTCCTCCTCCTCCTCTTTTCTTTCTTGCTCTATCACTTTTTTCCCTCAGAACAGGGAGACGGGGAGTGCTGAGCTTTGAGAATTAGACGCAGGAGGCAAAAGGAGGAATAGAGAATGGGAGGAGAGGGAAGAGGGAGGGCAGTGCGAGAGCAGGCGGGAATCGATGAGTGGAGAGGTTAAGATGGTAACCAGCAGTCTGCAGTGGCTCTCGCAGAGCTCTTTTTTAGCTGCTGTGTCTCTCTGCTGCAGGAACTCTGCAGGAACCTGAGTGTGCAGTGAGGTGTGAGGACCAGAGAGGATAGAAGGAGGGAGGAGGAGGAGGAGAGGAGAGGATGGGTGAGGGGGTGTTACCGGTTTGCTCGGGCTGGTTTTGCTGCAGTATAGAGGCAGAACACAGATGGGAAGTTTTCTTTTTTTTCTTTACAGCAGCAGTTGATGTGAAGCTCCGGCTGATTTAGCAGCAGCAACATAAAAAGGAAACTAGTTCCTGCCTTTCTTGTTTACAGGCATCTAACATGTAACTTGTGAATAATTTATAAAGAGAGCAGAAGGTGGGATGAGCTGCAGGAGAGGCAGATCTCTGCTGCTGACTCATTAAGGAGATTATATAGTCTGCTAATTAAACATAAAATGTTGAAGTCAAGCAGGAGTCAAACTGTATGTTGTAGAGGAGCATTCAATCTAACATGATGCTGCCTGCTGATGAGACACGTGGCTCAACATTTTAACATGAATTCAGGTTTCAAGAACATTTCCTTAAGGGTTATAATGTGCACTAAGAGAGAACTAAAAGAGCAAAGGTTGAAAACAATATCTGAAAATCTGAGCTGTTTCCACTACTCTAGTGTTTTCAATGTGCTTAACCCTTTACATTCAAGAGCCTCAGAATTAATTACATTGACTTAATGAAGTCTCATTCTGCAACTGAAATCAATAAGAACCTCACTTTCTATACTGGGATGTTGGGTAGAGCTGCATCAGACTGTTGCTGCAGGTTTCTTTAGGAAAAGCCATTACATACGCATCTGGTCTGTCAACATTGCTGTTTGTTCCAGCTATTGGGAAGCTACAAATGTTCCCAGTGAAGATTGTTTATACTTTACATGATGTGAGAAAGAAAGCAGCAATCTCCAAGGCTGAGAAATGAAAAATGAGGTAAGAGGTGCCAAAAACTGCAGTTCTTCAAGTGGCCACTTGAGACTGACGTCCAACAAAAACCTATGGGGGAAGTCAACGTCCATTATATCTTCAATCTATGCTTTAATGGTAAAAAACAGCATAATTTCCTCATATCACATTAACTGACCAAGTCTTAGACAAATCAAAAGTATCCTAGAACAGTCCGTCCAGATGATTTAAAAGTGCAACATTTGTTAATGAAAAGCAATGACAGGACTCCGGTGTGAGTGCCAGTTTCACCATTACACTTATTAAACCTTCTGGGAATGTCGCCAAAACCTCTGCAGCAAATAAAAGCAGCCAGGCTCTCGTCAAGGTGGACGAACCATTTCATTGCCTTTGGCGTTACCCTTGACACAACAGCAGCCAGGCCAGGCTCGGTGCATTACCAACGATTAGAGCAACACAAGCAGATGAGTCAGAACTGCTACATCACTAAAGCATCCAGCCTTTATATGAACCCTCCACCCTGCTGAGCTCATTTGTTTCTATTTCTGCTTGAGGGCCTGAGTGATGGAGAGAAAAGTTTTGATGGGGGCCTATTTTTCAGCCACTGGATATTTTGTGATTGCCTCGTCCTGAACTTAATAACTATAATAGATGAAGCTGAGACACAGATGATTCAGAGGTGGAATTTGTGCCTGAAGCAGTCTTGTTTCATAAAGGTGAAGCACATGAGCCTCAGACATAAAAATCTAATTAGAAAAGTTAAACTAGATTGACTACAACAAAACAAATCCATGCTAGTTGCTGCTAGAAGGCAGCTAAATGTGAATGCTGCATGCTGATATGTTAACAATCACAATGCTAACATGCTAATGCTAAAGTATCCAATATTTACCAAAAACAACAATGTTCTAACTTTTGTAATATCATTGTTTTTTTTTAATTAGCTCCTCGACCAGAAATATGGTAAAAGCAGGAAAATATATGAAAAATTGAGAGAGGTTAGAATGCAGAAATGTTTCAAGACCGATGCAGAGCTGGCTAAACACTGAAGCTTCAGTGTCCACCACATGGCAACCTGCAGGGGCATCAACTCTAGGGAGGAGAGGGCGGGGGGGGGACACCTCTCTTTAATGATTTGAATTTGGATTGCAGTACCAATTTGAACACCTAGGTGTCAGAGCTACATACTGCTCCTTTAAGTTTTTGGGTGTAAACTACAGGGTCGATGCAAATTTTTTGCAAACCGTCAAAGTTGTTGAGAGTTTGAATGATTGAATGTGTGTATGATGTTGGTTTAGAGTTTTGATTGAACTTTAATGAGAAAAAAAAGGTCTGGATCAGTAAAGTAAAGATAGATATGGGGGATAAATAGCTCAATAAAACAATGGCAGTTCAACAAATTGTTGTAATATTTCAGTCTAGACTATAAAGCAATGGATCAACAGAGCGACAGGAAAAAAATATTTCCAGGGAAAATACTATTAGGCTAAAAGACAGTTTTCCTTTAAACAATACCTTTTAGAATAGTTGAATTTATCAGAATAAAACTCCGAGAGACAAAAAAAAACAGTTTATCAAAAATACCATTAAACAGGAGATACTTGCTCTCAGTCATTTTCTGTAGGCTGTCATTTATACTCTACATTTAAAATGCCTAAACAAATGCAATGTATTTTTTTTAAGTTGTATCTTCAATTAGCTTTTTTTTTTCCTCAACAATCATAAATCTCAACGACATCCTCACTTTTACTGTAGGTGACAGAGCCTCTAAACTAGTCACCTGTCTGCAAACCACACAATTGAAACACCTGATGATATCAATCAGTCAATCTTCATTTGTATAGCGCCAATTCACAACAAATGTTATCTCAAGACACTTTAGAAAAGAGCAGCAGGTAGAAGAACTTACTCTCTGATATATTATTTAAGGAAGACCCAACATTATTTGTCATAGGGTAAGGGGTTTTGTTAGCTTACAGTAGCCAACTTGTAGCTAACAGTACTTTTCATTAGAGTTAAATGAATAAAACAGTGACTAAATGTTGCATGAAAAAACATTGAATGTGTTACTCGTTTGTGATGCTGATGTCTGCTGAAGTTCCATCGGCAATATTGATGAAACACAATGAAGCTTTCCACTCCCATCATGACCCCATGACGATGTTATCAAACATTATTTATACGGAGCCCCGCAAGTTTCAGGTAAGGGCAGTTTTTAATCTCCTCACCAAATTGAGGGGTTGATAAAAATGATATTTCTGATGTCATCACCTCGGGTGATTTCTTATCCCAAAAACCTTTACAGTCAGTTACTTAAAATAAAAAAATTGAGTTATTTTTGCAGTTCCTTACAGTTTAAATCAGTGTTTCATTTCTGATTTTCATGGGAGGTTTGAAACTTTCTCAGTGCAGGATCTAATTTAGTCTGGAAGTCTCTCGCTCCCTGACCCTATTGCAGCATGTCAGCATCCAGGGAGCCTCCAGAAGTAGTTCTGAGACCCATTATGGCTCCCACAGCCCACAGGTTAAAGCTGCAACACGAAGAACTGTCCCAACATTGAGGCTTAAAATCACAAGCATACTCGATTAACTGTGTGATTAATTAAAAGGGCTCTTAGTTGTATTGATGTTTGTTAAAAACCAGATTCTATGTCTTTATTTGTTTAAATGTAGAGACAACAAATATTGATATAAATATGAATGTACTAATTAAATGTTTCTTACATACCTTTCATTTCATTTCCAGAAGGCCTGCAAATGTCATTACTCAAATACAACACTCGAGGGCGCCACACTGCAAGAGCCATAGGCTTATGTCTGTAGATCTCTAACCCACTCTCTTTGCTGCACACTTTCAACAAAGTTTCTTCTTATATCAACAACAAAAACAAACACAAATAGTACTTTGGGACATTCTTTTACAAATCACATTAATACAATAAGAAAGTGATAATGTGCATCATGTGTGTCTATAAGAAGATAATGAAGACGTACCCCCTTGCGTTATATTGTCTTTTGATGTGATTTTCTTTTCATGTTCAGTTTCCCCAAAGTAAAAGAAAGGCACATTTTGCCACTTGATCTTCTTACTCCCAAAATAACCAGAGCAAGATGGAACTCTGAGGCTAATTTTGTCAGCCTCTGTGTGAACTCATGTGTCTCTGTAACCTGGATATGTCTGGCATGCTGCCCAGATCACTATGCCAGTAACTTGTAAGTCCAAATAGTTACAAGATCAGTATTCTAGACTGGTATTATTATTATGGAAGTCTTAGCATACTGGGATGTGCTCTTGGCTCTGTATGAGCCAGATGAATAGTGCTGCTGTGTCCAGAGAGTCACTACGGTCCGTAGCCACTAGAGCAGGAGTCATCAGCTACTGTACATCTGTACAAGGGCCAGCTTTTTTCTTGACGGACACTCTGCAGGCTGGCTGAATATTTTTAGACATTAGCCTGACAGCTGTCAAGCCCGATGTTCAGAAGTTGGTGTCAGAGGGGAAATGTAATTTCTCGCATTAAGCTAATGCGAGAAATTACGAAATTTGTTTCACTCACCAAGGAAATGAGGGGTTGGCATTTGGTTGTGTTATATTGTACTGTAGGTTTGTTAATGTATGTACTTGTTGGATACACACACACACACGACATATATGATATATTTAAATTGTCTATTTACACAGATGAAGATATACTGCAAACTACTTGCACATTTTACAAGTTAAGTTATGTTTATGCTGATGATTGAGCAGTGATACTCTATTTAATAAACTTTCTGTTTAACTATTTTGAGAATATATATGTGTAGGTATACACGCTGCCAACTCAATCAGAAGTTGTCACAAAAAACAACAACAATGTGCACAGGTGGTATGCCCAATATCAGATGTATTTTCAAGATTTTGAACAAAAATGCCTTTCCTGTTATTGGATTGGGAAAAAAACACCAAATTCATTTTATACATTTCTCATATCGTGCACAGTTGCTTTGAATACTGACTATGTTTCAGGGTTTCACTGTAAAAATCACACAGTATTGAAAAAAAACCCAGAAATTAAATGATTTATTGATATAAACACGTAGCTGTTACATGTAGTTCTCCTATGAGCGACAGTAAAATACATGTTCTACATTTCTTGGTGTGCTAGTTCGACTGAGGAGATGATAAACTTGTGAGGAACTGTATCTGGAATATTTGATAATTTAGTGACCGACAGAATCGTTGGGAAAAAAAATAGCTGTTGGCGGACATGGATATGGACTTGATGTCATAAATGTGGTGAATGAGAATGCAATGCAAAAAAGTGACAACAATTGTTCATCATAACACAGGGTAACACTCAGTAAGAGGTCACAGGCAACAACACTTTGGTAGCGTGGTCACCAGCCATATATACATGTTCTTCTTCCAGGAATCCAGCACCATCCTGCAAAGACACTGACGTGAGGTGAAACTGCAAAAATCTCCGTCTTTGTTAAGGACAGATTTAGAAACACTGAAAGGGTCACGCACCTTATGCTGCTAAGGCCTCATTCCTTCTGCTCCTAATTTGGCGTCGCAACAGATGAACAAAACAACAACAGGTGTTAAAACAGAGTCAGGGAGGAGAAACGACAGAAATCACATAAAAGACTGACAGACAAATGAAGCATTGATCAAACTTTTTTTTTACCTTGTTAATAATTTGTTAAAAAGTGAGCTCTATGCAGCATGTCAGTTTTAAAAAAAAATACAAAATTATACAGATTAAAGCTCTAAACTTTTGGGGTTTTATTGTGAGAGTCTCCTGCTTTTAAAATGCTGTAACTCAGAGTACTAATGGAGGCCTCCACTGCCGCTGCTGAGTCAAAGAAATTTGATTAAGTCACCTACCCGAGCCCAGGAGGAGCCATCACAGATTTAATTTATGGGTGCTACCACTTGGTCTCTTTCAGAGGCAGGGGCCACCTTTTCCAAGTTTAGTACCCTCCATGTATGGAGAGGCAGATGTCACCTCAGGACTCATTTAGACTCAATCAATCCCAAACATTGTTAAGAAAATTAACTAAATAAGTATTATCAATGGAGTATATTCTCTTAAATATTTGTTATAATGTCTGAAGGGTTGGTAGGCTCTTTGATTTGTTTTTTTTAGTGTATTTATCAAGCATAGCACACAAGAAGAATATTAAACTGCTGACCTGTGAGAATGTGAATGTTGACTTATTTCTTGTCTGCATCTGCAACTGCTGCCTCTGTTCAAAGAATGAAAAACAAAAAACAATTCTCACAAAGAATACAGCTAAAAAAACAAGGCTATGATTTCAACACAATTTGAATAACACTAAAGATTGAAATTTGTACACTTTTTTAGGATCTTGACTTACGTTTGACCTCCAGCTTGCAGCTGACGGTTGCCTCTCCGTGATCGTTCTTGGCTTTGCAGGAGTACACACCTCCGTCAAAGTTACCGGGCTTACGGATCTCCAGAGAGCAGATACCCTGGACGCAGATCTGCCTGTACTTGGGGTCATCTCCGATAATCATCTGGTTCTTCATCCACTGAACCTTGGGCTGCACGAAGAGAAAACATGTTTTTTTTAAGCAGGCGTGTTGTAATAAAACTAACTGATCTCATCCTCTCTCAAACATAACCTCACAGATAAACAAGCAGCGGTGGTGAATCTATTTTTGTTCATGCCTCTTGGCAAGAAAAAAAAACTTTTGATTGAAGTGGACAAACTGCACTCCGCCGGTTTGGTACTTTTAATGACACTGACAGGTTAAGGACCTCATGGGGCCTCACAGGGAATGTTACGCATGTGACCCAGCCTCCCCGCTGACCTGTCACCTTTCTGGCCTCTTCTCCTCCTACCCGGCTTCAAACTCAAAGAATACCAACTCCAACCCTCTCATCAAGAACATCTACACTCCTGTGCTCTGTTGTGACACTGTGGGATTATGAGCTCAAACAGGATGGGAGAGGCTCAGACAGCAGGCTAACAAGGCCCGGACAAGATCTCACACATGCTCTGTTCGGAGCCGAGCTGCTGACAAGTCGATCTGCTGACAAGTCGATCTGAGCAGTGGCATCACTGGTCCTACAGTATGATCCAACTCATATTTAATGCTAATAGTTCATGTGTTAGAATTTATGGCTCCGTACACTTCATGATTGTTTGTGGGTTTTTTTAGGTTTTAGCCTTTGCATAAATGCTAACCATCCATAAAACATACAGCTCAGTTTTTAACCCCTATTTGCAGATGAAGTAATTAGTTTCAGAACATGGATGAAGTCCCCTGGCAGTAACTTGTTGAGGTGATTTGCTGCCTCAACCGTTCTTCCAGTCCATTCATATTTGTCAAGTTAACCACAGTCCTGTCGTATCAGCAGGACTGTGGCCGTGGTCACTCCATGTCACCCAAAATTTGAGAGGAAGTCGCTGAAACAACCTTAAGGATGAGCTTGACTATCTGTGAATCAAACTTGAAAGACAAACTTTGAGCAGGGAGATGTTTTGTTTTAAGCAGTGGTTCTCAAAGGAGGGGACCTTGAGGGGGATTCCAATGGTCAGAAGATATTTAATTTCTCTGTAATCGCTATAATAATTTCACTATAATTCAATCCATTGGCAACATTGCACAATAAAGAAAACTGTATTGTGAGATTTCCTACTCTATCCTATCTAAATAAAGTGAATGTTTTCATTGAAGGTTTGACTTTAACCTCTGTATATGGGGCTCCCTAAAAATCTTCATCATCCTATTTCAAATTTGAAGGGAGTGAAAAGAGTTGCTGTTCTTGCTTCAGATGTTATGAGGTTGTAATGTTTTTTTCTGAAGCTCTTACTTTAGAGGAGACAACTGGGAAATGATCAAAGTCAAAGTCAAAGTCAACTTTATTGACAATTTCAAAATATGCCAGACATACAGTGGAATCGAAATTTTGTTTGTCTCCGTCCCGCGGTGCAATACAACCAATAAGGTAAAATAAGATAAGCTAAAATAGATCAAATAAAATGAGGTAAAAATAAGATAAATAATATTTACAGTAATAAATTCTAAATTGTGCAAAAGGTACAAAATGGTAAATAAAATAAATAAAATAAAATAAAATTTTAAGAAAAAGTAAACCTGTGCAATATGTGCAATGTGCAGTAATGTGATTCTGTTGATCTTAAATTCTCTGTAGTGTAGTGTACCTTTGGGCTTCCCCTGACGGAGCACAGCAGCTTGGTGCTGTAGCCGACGGTGGTGGCTCTGTCATTCAGAGAGGTGGTGAACTTGGGTGCCTCGCTAGAGTCGCGCTCCTTGTACTCTGGAGGTTTGTAATCAATACCTGCGGGGAAGAAGAGGAGGAGAGACACATTACTACACTCTGAAGACTGTCATTGTTGTTGTTTTTGAATTGTGACATGCTCATCCTTGGCAGAGGCGTTTTATTTCATCAGAGATTAAATTACGGGTCAGATGCAAAATGTTATGAAGCCTTGCATCCTTGTAAAAAATGAAAGGGAATAATTTGATGATGGCTTTAATGCAAAACAACGATTTAAAAAGTTGTATGAGCAGATATGGAATATGATATAATTAATATTATTATTATTATTTGCAGTAGTAGTATGTTGTTATCAATGTTTTTTAGCCTGCCTAAGCCTTAATTCGTTCTTGACATCCACAGACTTATTAGGTCTAACTTGTTGCAGCTCCGTGTTCAACATTTAAATAGAACAGAAAACTAAAGAGGGTGTTTTTGGTTTTTCCTGCATTTTACCTGGACTCTAAGTATCCCTAACATTAGAAAAGGAAGCATGCACGGAAAGTAAAACTCCTAAATTCACCCCTACATGCATCTAAATTTGTACACTGCTTCTTTCCGATATGATTCCATACATTGCTGTGAAGTAAACAAAGTTTAAACAGATAAATAGAAAGTGACCTGTCTTCAGGATCTTGGCCTCCTGCTTTGCCATAATGGCACTTTCGCTGATTCCACACTTGTTCTCAGAAAACGCTCTGAAATTATAGGTGTTGCCCATGATCAGGTCAGAGATGGTGGCGTTCAGTCGGTGGTAATGCTCCAGCACAGTGAACCAGTCCTGTAGACACACACACACACACACACACACACACACACACACACACACACACACACACACATAAGCTAAGACATTTTTAAAAACAAACAAGGGGATATTTTTACGACTCAGGATTCAAAGTGATTTATTGGTGGATCCTTCAAGTGAAGTCAAAAGTCATCATGTAGGCTTTTGTTTTTTTAAAGTGTGGGCTGACTAAAGTCAAGTGCCAAACATGAGCGAATTAGCAGTTTAGAATGACAGAAAAGTATGAAGATAAAAACTATTATTAATGCAAACATATATATATAGTCTTGAAAGTCAACGAAAAGATGCGGGGCAGTGCTGACATGGAGAGAGCAGTTCATTCCAATAACGAGGTGTCTGACATTAAAATGAATAACCATCATATGTGATGTATTAGCAGTCAGACATTACTTGATAGCAAACACTTACTCCAGTCTTCTTGTCGGCCTTCTGAATTGTGTAACCTGTGATCTCTGTGTTGCCGTTGTCCTTGGGTGGGGTCCACTCCAGAGCCACGTTGAAGCCCCAGGTGTCTACGATCTTCAAACTGGCAGGAGGGCCGGGCAGCTCTGTGAACAACCGCACAATGATTTTTTTGTCAAGTGTTACTGGCAAACCCCATTTCTCTAGTCACAATGAGCCTTCAAAGTGGTCTTCCTCACTCGATCACATCCCTGCCTTTTAATGCATTCACTGCATTTTGCTCACCAACGATCTGCAGGATGAACTGAGCCTTGTCCTCGAAGTCGTCCACCTTGACACATATCTCGAACACTCCAGAGTCGTCCCTCTCGGCTGCACGGATGAACACGATGCTGTCTCTGTCGGTGCTGCGGATGTTCACCCTCTTTGTGTCCAGAGGCTGACCATCCTTTGTCCAGCTGACCACAGGTTTGGGTTTGCCCTGGTGAATAAAATACAGAAATCAGGCAATGGAGATGTGTAGTTTTATTAATCTTTTTTTTTAATATAAAGTGACAACAGTGTGCAGCTTACTGTGAAGGGGATAGTCAGGTTGATCTTGGCTCCAACATTAGCGACATATCTCTGCCTGAGGAAACGAGGCATGCGGACCTTGGGGCGATCTGGAGAGAAAAACAGTAAAAGAAATAACCCTTGAGTATCATAGTTGAAACATAAATTTTAAGCCTAGCTGAAGTTATTTTATTTCCTGGGTCAACAGCTGATCGGTGAAGGGAAGAAGCGGTCTTAAAAGGATTGGTAGGCTCCCTTTAGAGACTCCTGGAGAGAAACATATGGATTTTGTTTGTGACCAACAAATCTCAGAGAAATCAATGAACATGTCGAGCTGAACTAAGCCCATTTTATCCAGGGAAGTTTCACTGGTGCCATCAGAGTTTGTTCCCAACTTAACTGACTGTAAATCATATTCTAAATCCTTTATCCTGTTGGTAATGTGTTAATCTCCTCGTTAGGAAGAACTTTTTTGGGACTCAAGTTGTAATGAAGGTGATAACACAAGGACTGACACTTAAAGATGAAAGACAGGATTCTATGAAAGGATGAAAATCAATAATTTGTCATGCATATGTGGCTGAATATTCTTGAACTAGGTATTTAAGAAAAGCTATAATTTATAAAATCAACTTTAAGGCTAACTAAAATCTAAAAAGAATGGATTATACCCCCTCCCCAAAGTGTGTACTCATAAAGAAATTAGCTACTCAGCTACTTTATGGCTGTAAACATATATCGTTCTGCTTAAAAAATGTCATTGTAATATAGGATCTTATGGAGATTCCTTTGCTTTTGGAGCAAGCATCTAGTGGACAATCAAGGAACTGCAGTTTTTGCACTTTGGTTGGCTTCAATTTTCAATATCAGAGGTTGCCATATGCCTTAAATGTGTACTTCTTTCCAGTAGCTGTTTTCCCCATGTGCAAAAACATTTGTATAGTAGCCTTATTGGGTGAATATCAAAGTGTAGCATTGTCCTGCATGGTCATTTAACAAACATGCAAATCATGTTACAATGAGATCCAGGTTCAAACGCGAAGCCACCTTATAATCCCCCCTTCATTTAACAACAAACCCCCCCATAATATCCTCATAGAGAGAAGATCATGAGGATAGTTAGCCACCGTGGTGTTTGAAATGACACTTTAAGCCTTAAGAAGTTTCTCACTGGGGCTCATTTTGTAGAAGAGGCTTGGTGAACAGGAGCACCTGCTGAGTCCTGCAGGGCAACATTTGTCAGGACTCTAAATAAAGCCTGCCTACTGTAGTATATCACCTCCCGCCATGACGCACGATCCACAGCTTCAGTTACACCCACATACATCAGAATGTATAAAGATAAATTAAGCAGGAGATGGAAAATGATAAAGCAGCTGTTTAGTGAACTGGAACACGAGTTATTTAGTGTGTGAATGGGATGGGACGGAAAGATTGGAGATGATGAATGCATCTTTTAATTCTTTTATTTTAATTTCACCTTAATTTGCTGTCCTGTATCTTTATATCTTTTCTCCCCGAGTATAGCTTCATACTGTCTTGTCGTCGAGCATGGTTTCTTTGGGTTTCCATATTTGTGTTGTCTTCTAAGCATCTGTTTTTTTCTTTCGTCTAAACCCTTTGTACAACTCATGGATTTAAAGGTGCTATAGTTAGTTTTAAGTATAATTTTCAATATTATGTTAAGTGTCTTATCACTTCATATGAGAAGATTACACATGATTAATGTCTACCTGTAAAGCTTCTGGCATGTTTCAAAATAAACAGTGAATCTCTAAAAGTGTCATGGGTGTCACCTGAGAGCGTAGATCCATATCCACCACCCCGCTCACCCACCCACCAACACCCCTCTGTACATATAAGAAACACACAGGAATGTACCCCCACCCCTCCCCCAACCCGCTCCCAGTTCGTTCACTTGTCGCCATCAATCTTACGGAAAACGGCCCTGACACTCCTGCAGCAGGGATCAAGATTCAAAGCCGACCTCTCCACGCTTAAAAATTCTGCGTTAAAGCGATGACATGCCAGGTATTTTTCCAAAACCTTTGTGGCCATTTTATCGGAAACCTTTCATAAGTCTTTTTTTCCTGTGCGTGGACCGCCCGCTATGGCGAACGTGACGGTGAACGTGGGCGTGACTATTGAAATTTTGCGAGTACAGCTTGTATCAAGTGTCCTCTAACCCCCACTCCCCCTCCCGTTCAGCTCTCCATTACGCATAACGATGATTTGTGAGTAAGCGACACTCCTCCTCCTTTTAAAGCCCCCAGGGTGCAATCATCATTTTACATCAAATCACTTGAGATATACAGTCTATGATTAACGCTTTAGTTAATGTGTCTGCTTAACTAGCTCGCAGTTATCACTGTGTAGGTTTGTGGATCGGTGTTTCAGACCAGAGTGGAAACGAGAGAGAGAAGTCCTCCGTTTTAAACCGTCAACACAACACAGACAAGACGAGGAGGGAACATTTCTAAGCTGCTGCACTTTATGTCTCTCGCTTTCTTTTGATAACTGGATCAGTAAACTTCAGGCCAGACCCGAGTCAAATACAACACCCAGTATGAGTTTAACTTTGTAAAGGGATTAAGCAGATCACATAATCCTACTTAGTCTGTCATGTTTGGTTTCTCTGCCTAATGCATAAAAACCCACAATTCATTTTGAATAAACGTTTTTGAATGATGTTTTATTTACATTAAAAATAAGATGTTTGTGAATTTATTTTCTGTTGCATGTTGTGCCTGAGTCCCACAGTTCTTACAAGTTCTTCATTTCAATACATAGAAAAATAAGACGGTTGCTAACTGTCACAGTCTGAGTCATCACTTATTTGTGATAATTATGTCTCATTCATTCATTATGTCTGTTTATACAGTATTTCGTACTATTCTGCCTTATTTATTACACATAGAAAGTGGGGAAAAAAGGCCTTTTTTTATGCCATTGCATGCCCGTGTTTGTTCACATATTCCTTTCTTTCTTTTCCTGTGTAATATCTGTGACTCATATAGGGAGCATGTGTCCATTGTTTTCAGAGGAATTATTTTGCAGTCCATGCTCATACTGTCAATAGTTCTCGAGTTACTTATCTGTATGATGCATATGTTGTCATTAGTCTTATTCACTAATGTGGTATCACTAAAGTTTCTGGTTCTAGTTCTGATTCTGTTGATGCTTCATGTTGCGCTGTGAACACTTCTTACCTGCCACCTCTTTCACCAGGACAGCCTCGGGGAGGGCACAAGGGGCGCTGCGGCCTCCGGCATTCACAGCAACCACGCGGATCTTCAGACGGTCTCCGGTGGTCAGGTTCTTGATGACATAGCGGCAGGACTTCTGTGGCTCCTCGTTGACTGCTTTCCAGTCCTCAGCTGAAACAGAAAATGTTTTAACAAATTAAACCTACCGCTGACGGAGAGGAACAGATCTCATCTGTACAGGATTTATGTGTAGGTAAAGAAGTGCAGCTTTCTGATAGATATAGAGTGATTATGTTTGACACTAATTTGTTGTATTAGACATTGAATCGCCCCACTGAGTGTAATTAGCGTGCCCCCCTCTGCTAAATCAAGCTGCTGCTGATATTAGCTTAGGCCTGTAAGTCTAAAAGCAGGACCTCCAGCAGGACCACAGCAGCTCCTGAAGTGCCTCTTTCCTTGTAGGGAGAAGTTAGGAAGCTCATGATATAACTCTGCCGGTGACACTTCAGGGACAGCTGCAACCGATACGCCTGACCCACATTAAAACAGCAATTTCACATGTTCCTGAGTGCCTGTGAAAAGCATTTACACTTCATAGCCACAATCATAGAGGTCAAATGTCTATATTATATTATAAACCTAAAACCAGCCGCTGCAATAAAACCTTTTGAATAATCCAAACGTGAGCTTACATTTAGCCCAAGTGTTTTAATAATCTGACCTCTTCTGTGCACCATGCCGGTTCTGAGTGCACCTGGTTGAAGTCTAAAGTAGAGCAGGACTTACTGCCATCCTTCGCGATTTCAATGGTGTATCCATCCAGGCCAGTGTGCCCAATGGTCTCAGGCTGGCTCCAGATGATCGTCACTGAAGTGTCGTTCTTGTCCTCAATGAACAGATCCACCGGGGCGCTGGTGGGCTCTGCAGGTGCAAGAAAAACATTTAATTATTCAACTGACAGATATGCAAAAAGAGGGTTTATAAGACGCGATGACGCTGCTCCTCAGTCAATCAACTTTACTAATCCTACCAGGGGAAATTGGTTTAAAGCAGCATGTACATAGAAATTAAACAGACATGAAGACTTTCATTCAAATGAGTAGTTCTGCTAAATAAACCTTCATCTTTGCTCCATAAGCTACACATGTTGATCATTTCTGGATACAGTTGTTGTAAAGACGCCTGGCAGCTTGTCTTTTATGCTGTCAAAATCAGAATCAGCATCAGGTCTATCACCAAGTAGCTTTGCTAACACAAGGGATTTGTCTTTGTGTTGTTGATGCATTACAAAAAAGTACAAACATATTAAAGAATAGAAAACAGAATAGAATAAATCGAGGTTTAAAAGAGCAAACACAGCGGCATGTAGACACAAAGCATCTGAAAAACCGATAAATTAACTTTTGAACAATCTTGGTCTCGAATTTTTAGTGATCGATACTTAACTATGATAAAAAGCAATACAAAAGAATGAGAATGAGGAGGAAAAAGTGGAATCTCGCAGATGATGTTTCCTCTCTGATTAAAGGGTTACCTTTGGGTGGAGGAGGTGGTGGCGTGGGTGCTTTGGGCTCTTCTGGTGCAGCTTCAGCAGCTTCAGCTGGTGTTAAATAGGCATTTTCATTATTATTGGCAGCATTATATGAGCAGGGTGTACCTCACATCTCTCTGTGTCCCCTTTCTGGGAGGTTGTACTATTAACTTTTCATCCAATCTGTCTGTAATCTAATCATCATTTAGTCTATCAAAGAGAGGAGGAACATGATCTGGGGTTTTGCAGGTTGTTTTACCATCAGCGGCGGGTGCCTCGCCGTCAGCAGCGGGAGCAGCTTCTTCTGTGGCAGGAGCAGCAGCAGCTGTTATTGAATGTTAGATATTAATAGTTAGTGCATTAAGCAGATTGCACATGTTCAACAAATTGTAATAAAGTGTGTGCTGAAACACACACGATCAAAGAGTTATTAAGGAGTCAGTGACGTTAGCTTTACCTTTAAAGCTTTCTTATAATACTAATAAATCTATCATAGCTCTTCTTTTTTTTTTTTACCATCAGCAGGGGCCTCAGCAGCAGCAGCCGGTGTTTCCTCTGCAGCTGGAGCAGCAACTGATGTTAGATGTTAGAAGAAATAAGTATTGGATAATAAAGCTGGGATGATAACAGGATATTAGTGCTTGTAGTTAGCTTTACAGGCAAAGGTTTAGGATTTAATAATGCTTATACAAAAAGTTGTTTTTCCCAGGTTTTCTTTCTTTGTTTTTACCATCAGCAGGGGCCTCAGCAGCAGCGGCTGGTGTTTCCTCCACAGCTGGAGCAGCAGCTGATATTAGATGTTTCGGAGATATTAGCATCGGATGATGTAGGTTAGAGGATAATAAGATATTAGTGCTTGTAGTTAGCTTTACTGTAAAAGGTTAAAGATTTAACAATGCTTGTTCAAAAAGTCTGTTTCTCCAGTCTTTTTTTTTTTTTACCATCAGCAGGGGCCTCATCAGCAGCAGCGGGTGTTTCTTCTGCAGCAGAAGCAGCTGATTTTAAATGTCAGGAGATATTAGAGTAAGATGTTAGTATTGTGAAGTGTAAATATAGTATAATTAGCCTTGCTGTGGAGGTTGGATGGTTAATGATATAATACTATATAGGATGACTGTTATTCCACGACTTATTTTTACCATCAGCAGGGGCCTCAACGGCAGCTGGAGTTTCGTCTGTAGCAGGCGCTGCAGCTGATGTAAGGGGTTAGGAGATATTAGTGTGGTTAGCGTTTACTGTAGAAAGGTCAGGTTTATATAGTGCTTATATAAGATCCACTGATAATCCACTGATAGTCTGTTTTAACGGCAGCAGCTGGGGTTTCCTCTGGAGCGGGTGCTGCAGCTGATATTAGAAGTTAGAAGAGATAAGTGGATTTATAACACCTTGAAATATTAAATGATATTTTCAAGATGTTATGAAAGAGGTTAAACTTTAAAATTAAAAAAAAAATTTAAAAAAGGAAGAGCAGAAACAGGTGAGTTATTCAGAGGCTGGGACGCTCCTCTCTGGGTGGCATACCATCGGCGGCTGGCAGATCTGCAGCTTCAACAGGGGCAGCTGATGTAGATATTAGATGTTAGAACAATGCAGAGATCAAGGTACAGTGAGAATCATGTTAAACATTAGATATAGCAGAGAATTGTCTTGAGAAAAGACGTGTTGTTAACATGCGTTATACTCCAGCTAAAAAGCACTCCTACACCAATGTGCACAGTATTTTATTTATCTATTTTTATTCCATCTTGAGGATCCTTAATGACTGCTTCACAGGCGTCAGGATGGAGCTTTCATTGAGGTATAAAAGCGCATGTTAACAACCACTCTGTAAGTTAGCATTAAAACGTTTTAATGAAAGAGGCAATGCGCCCTTGTAGCGCAAAAAGCGCCTAAGAATGACTCTCATTAACTTTAACAGTCAGGTGCTAAGAGTCCAAGCAGGCGGTTTATGCAGTAAACGTGCAGTCTCCGTTAATGCTACTGTACCGTACACGGCACCTTCACACCGAGCGCGCACAAGCGCTCGTGCGTAAAGGTTACCGTGTGCTTACCGTGAGATCAACCGGCTGCATAAACTTTAATTAAAAGGTTAAATAACTAATCCATGGCTCATCCACTCTGAAATAACATGTTGGTGAACTTATACGCTATAATTGACGGTTGACGCGCAACTGAGCGCGGTGCATTACCGTCTGCAGGTGGAGGAGTCGGGGGTTTGGGCTCCTCAGCAGCAGGGGCTTCGGCAGGTGCAGCTTCGCCCTCAGCGGGGGCTTCAGCTGGTGCGGCTTCAGCGGGGGCAGCCTCTGGTGCGGGTTCAGGAGCGGGTTCGGGCTCTGCAGCCTTCTCCTCCTTCTTGGCTGGTTCTTTGTTAGCCGCCTTCTTGATGGGGGCAGGCTTGGACGGCATCTTGGAGGTTGCAGCTAATTCCCAACGCGGTTAAGTCCGTAAAAAAACACTTTATCCAATGCCGTTAGTCCTGAGGGGGTGACAGGCTTATATAGGGCTCAGCAGGTTCAAGCCCCGCCCCACTAATGAAATACAAGTAATGGATACTGGGCACCATGTAGGACCCAGGCCACCATGCCTGTTTATCTCACTCAACACACACACACACACACAGTGCATCATATAAGGTTCAGGTACACAAACTTTGGCCTAGATAAATAAGTATAAAAATAAAAAACAGATGCATACTAACACCATGAAGTTCCAATGTAATACCATTAATGATCTAATGTTTATGATCTTTGTTTATGGCACAACAAACTACTCCACTTAACTACTTAAACTTTGTATTTCTGGTGAGAAGTCACAGTGACAAACACGAAACAACAGAATAAATATAACATGTATTTTATTGATTCCAAACAACCAGTGATAGGTGGATGAAAGCCTTCAGAAACACGCCTTATCCAATTACTGGACCAACCTCCCAAGAAATATACCTTTTCTGTCAAGGATGATTCTCTACCCTCTTAAATGATTGTTGCCGCATCCAGAATGCTGACCTATTTACAATCTTTACAATGATGTCCTGTACAAAATAGAGAAAGGAAGTTTTACAAAGGATTCTTTAGAAAAAAAAAAAGGAAAAAGAAATATCAAACATTTTGAGTATTAAAAAAGGAAAACATCATGTGGAATGATTTCCCTAACCAATACTTTGTTTTGTTTTCTCATCACATAGCAAGTTTACATGCATGTACAACACGTAGAAACCCTTAACATTTGCACGGCAGTGACATTATATACCGCATCACTTTTTTTAAACTCTTTGTTTAGTCCACAAGCTTTGCAAAAAATATGACTATTCAGCAACCTGGCCTGGTTTGATTCTATGTAAATTTGACTACTAAACAATGAAATGCCAACTCTTGCCAACTATCACTTGAGGTTTAACCCTTTTTTTGTTCGTTTATCGTCTTTTGACCTTTTAAACGTTAAGATATTTTATTTTTGATGCCATTCAAAAGGACATAACACATAGAAAAGCTTCCAATTACCTTTTGTTTTCTTACTACATCTATTAACCCTGTATTCATTGCAACACCTCCTCTCTTTAAGACTCAGCATCACCTCCTAAAAACAAATATTTTGCACTTTGATTCTGTGATTTGATCCAAATCAATACTTAAAAAAAAGGAGCCCGTATGAAAAACACTGTATCATTTTGCAAAGTTTATAAATTTGTTGATTGCCAACACCAGTAGAAGTTGCTGCATAGTCTCGGTACACTAGTAAGCAAACACAAATCACAGCTACTACAGAGCAACAGGCACAACAACCAGAGGATGAGATGAGAAGCTGGAGATGATGGCGTTTGTTAACCTGCAGAATCAGACCAGGAAGTGGACGGTAATACTGTCTAACACCGGTAATATTTACATTTGCTCAATCAGCACGGGAGCAGGGTCGTCAGCCATTAACATCTTTTTTTTTTTTTTGCTCTTTATCGTCTTTAATTCATTCCATCTTTTTGAGTTTACAGACCAATCAGAGCTGCAAGTTAGTTTTGATACCTGGCAGATGCAACGAGTGCGATAACAGCAAGAAGCAGCTCGGATACAATTACAAATAGTGACACTTTCTTATCAAGCTGTCATTAGAGTGGTCTAACATTCATTTACAGGACTTATGTACATGTGAAGTTTGATCTGAGCACCTGAACTATGACACAGCTTGGGATGAAGAGGTGGAAAATGTGGACACCACTTGCACTTACATGTGCTTATTCATTTACTCCATGAGGGATTCTTTACAAAAACGTACACAAAGTAACTTAAAAAGGGTTTTTTATCTTCAGCTTTTTACTCTCGTCTCTACTATCAGTTTGTTTTTGTGATGTGTACCTGAATGCTTCCCAAATATGAGTACTGTACGACATCAACATGGGCGAACACCATACAATGTGTCACACTGACTTCACTGTCTTCAACACTTCTTCAACAACACGTCCTAAAAGTATCAGAATGTATCTTCCAGATCTATTCGTCACATCTTTACTAAGCTACCCTGAAAGTCTACATGATGTTCATTCTACACGTTTAAGAGCACCGTTAGGACCTAGATGAGGATTAAGCATGAGTGGCATTAATAAAGAAATCTTTAATTCTGTTTGTGAATGAAATATGCAAAGGTAGCTTTTAAGTCACTCTACTCAGCCATTTTTGAAAGTGTTTTGCGTTGTGATAAGGCTTCTTTAAAAGCACCCTCTAGATGATTCATACTGTTAAACCTTGTACTTGAACCGTTTTCTATACATTCATAGCTGAAACTCCTAACTTGACAGTCAATATGCATGATTAAAGAACAGTATTTGGTTCAGTATTTCAGATATTTGCACCAACATATAGAGATAAAATAACTGTGATGTAGCCCGATTGTATGTACATTATATTTACAATAAGTACTCTGAATATGGAGGGGGAAAGATTGAAAACAAATGTGCTCTTTCCTCGATAGTTGCCGTAGAAAAAAAAAACAGTAATGACTTTAATTTAAAAGCATTGACTGAATGTGTTAAATCTTTACTGGTGTTTTGTTATGTTATATTATCCCTGTGTATCTAATACCTGATATACATGGCAACACTGGTGACGCTGCTCGTTTGACATGAAGCAGCTCAAATCAAGTGCTCGGAGAAGAGGGTGCCGTGCAGCCAGAGAGTGATGAACTCCTCACCAGCAATAAGTCGTCGTTTTATGCGAAAGAGTATGACAGCAAGTTCCACTTTTTAAGCCGTGATAATTATTTAAAAGATGGATAGTGTGTGGAAATGTGTACCACCAAGTTATCAAAGAATAATGTAGCACTTCATATTGTAAATAAAAGGTAAGGTAATATAAGTAATGTACAGAGTTGATGAAATAGCTGATTTGTGATTGGTTGAGTGGAAGATGATAAAAGATGAAAGCACCTGCTATTCTCTGCTGAAGTTGAAGTGACACTGACGTCTGTTTTTAAGGCATTTCTTTGTTTTGACCTGCTCGTGTTGTAAAGTTCAGGGTTGCATATGTGTAAGATTTGGCCTTTGAAGACTTTACAGTAGATATGTACTAAAGACTTTTGGGATACACAGTAGCTTATATGATGCTGTCATACTCTTTTCAAAAAAACCAGACACAATAATTGCAAGTAGTTCCTTTTGACAAGCACTCCATATCCCATAATGCACTTGAGCGCAAAACAGGAAAGGACTGCTTGTGCTGTTGCAGAAATCCCCTGAATTGTTAAGTGCTAGAATGAGTTTGGAAGTGATCTGTTAGCACCGGAGAACGGAGGGCTAAGTGGCGGGTAAAAGGGAAGTGAAATGAATATCATCCAGTCAAATATAGAGTACATTTATAGCATATATCTTTTCATTTAACATTTGTAAACAGTCCTATTTTAAATAGTGTTTGTTACGTTAAACCTACTGTATTGTGGGAATGACAGTTTAAATCCCCCTATAACCATTTCTTAGGGTTCATTTGTTCCTGAATGAGCACTGTGTCATTACATTGAAACAATAACAGATGAAGTGCTTCGTGTTAAGTGTAAGCTTTGTGTTCAAAGTTTAGGCAGGCTGGGGTCTTCTTTGTCTGGGGATTCAATGTAATTGGCAGCCTCTTGAAGTTTCAAAAGCATTGCCATCTACAACAAAGAAAAGAGAGAACAAAAAATTAGCAATACTTAAGGATCCACTTTAGTTTTAAGTAGTAAACAAAGTCGATAATTCTGGAAAAGCTCAAAAGAAAACACCATGAAGTCCTCTCTCACTAACCAGTGGATCAGATTCCATGGAGCTGGGTGGAGTTTCCTTGTGAGGCCGCTCCTCGCAGAACTGACCGGGGCTGCTGGAGCCAATGCTGGGGGGAGGGAGGTGGAAAAGCTTGGCCTGGTCCTGCTGGGCAGACGGCCAAGGCAGGGTGCCCCTCACCCACTCCACCGGGTCCTCCCATACCGCCTTCTGGCCGTGAACCTAAAGCATCACAGCATACCAGTAAAATTAAAATTAGAGCGCAACATTTCCTGTGTAAGGGAAGTGGCTCGAGGAAGAAACTAATCCAAGGATTGAGAAGGTTTTGTGGATTTGTTTCTCACCTTGATGCCGTCTTTGGCTCCCTCTTGCAGGTACGGTATAATCGAGTGGTTCCAGAGGTCAATGAACCATGATCGAAACTCATCCACCGTGACAGGACAGGACAGGAAGAAGCAGGGGCCTGAGGAGAAACAGGAGGAAAAAGACAAACATTAAAAGGGACACACACTGAAAAGACATTTATAGCATTCACACAGAAGTTCTGCAGTATTCCTGACAGCATGAGTGCAGCTTCACTAAGCCCTGAAGTCATGCCCTGTCCTGATGAGTGTGTTTCATACCAATGAGGAAGTCCGACGTGCTGTGCTTCTCCAGGAAGGCGTGCAGATGATACCACAGTTTGGGCACCCAGTCCAACACCCTGATCAGGTCCTCGTTGGTTAGGTTTCTTTCATCCTCTGACTCCATCATTTTCCTGTGAAGATAACGCACCAGGAAGCCGTTGGCTGGCTCCACGTTGTTGGAGAACGTCACCATCCTAAAATCATAAAAAGCAAAAAAAAATATTCATGTAATGCTGATCAATAAGTTAAGTAAAGTTAGACCCATGGGGAACCATTATTTTCAAAATTTGACTGAAATCAATAATTACAATTACTCAATAAATCTTATAACTATTATAAGATATTACTTATAAATCAGTTTCTGTTGATGTTAGATTTCACCTGGCTTAATACACTCTCTTTATACTCTTTATAATATCAACTTTAAAGCGAATGTGTTAAGGTTTTTGCATTGTGGCATAATTTGTGTTTATTTAAATTAAATATTGCTACCTAAGTTGTTACAAATCAAATACTATAGTTTGTGTAAACCTGAGCCATAACCCTGATTGTCTCTGTAGAGGCAGGTAGCACATTTTTTTAGATTAGCTCAGGTACAGAAAATGTGACATGGTAAATGGTAAATGGACTTGAGCTTGTAAAGCTCTTTTCTAGTCTTCTAGATACAACCGTGTTTGTAGATCAAACTGCAGGAGATGAAACTTCTTGATAAGTCGTTCCCTGAACCAACCTGAAGCTGAGGTGGAGGCCGTGGTTTCCAATCATCTTCACTTGCTGATTGCTTGTTCCAATGATGTAAGGACTGAGGGCAGAAACAATATAGCAGTTTAATGGCATTAAATGAAGACATGATTTTACCTGCCGTTAGTTACAGTTTGTGTGTGTGTGTGTGTGTGTGTGTGTGTGTGTGTTGAGCTTACCATTTGTGGTATTTGCAGGTGAGAGCACCATTTACAAGTTCACTGATTGAAGCAGTTTCATGAATATCATCCAGAATAACCACCAGCGGGATCTCCGACATGCTGGTTTCCCGATCAATTTGATTGGCCAGGTTGGAAAGATAAAGCTGCAGATCCTGAGGACAGAGAGGAGAAAGAGAGAATAAAATATCAAAACATAACACATAAAATATAAACCCCCTTTTATTCCACCACCCAGATTAATACAGATCATCAGTTTTCGTCACCTTGCAGGACTGGCGGTGCATGTTGAAAGTAACCACGATGCCTTCAGTGACCTCTCGGGCGCTGCGGTCCACCAGGTACTCAGCAAGCCGTGAAGCCAAGTAGCTCTTACCGGTCCCGCTCGGTCCAGACAGGACGAGGCGGCGATGTTTTAGGAGCAGACTGATGTAGTGCTGCATCATTGGTTTAGGAATGAGGGTTTCAAATACCAGGTTGTCCACACACTTCTCCTTCAAACCTGAACAAAGTGATGAAAGGGGAGAATGGATTAAACTGTGATAAACAATTAGGCTGATGATAACCTGCTGAATAACATGCACACATTAGAATTGGTGGTTTGAAACATGATATTTCAGCACATTTTTAAAGTACCAAAAAGAAAATTCATAACAAATAGGACGAGCCTGAAAAAAGGAGAATGTGAAATGTATTTCTATCACCTCGCATGTCCTTCATAATCGACATGGTGCTGTCGCATTTTAGTCTTAAAATAACTTTGCATCAAGTGTTTGAGAGTCTGTGCACCCCGCCTCCAGCCAGAAGGAGTCTAATGTTGCACCTTAGCATCTTTGGGGCCCATGTGTCTGAGGCTGCTCCACCAGCTGAGCCTGGCAGCCCAGGGATCAGGTTACGCACAGGCCTGTCTGGGCTGCCGCCGCTTTCCCAGCTCTCCTAGCACTTAACGCCTTACATTCCTGCATGCGATGGTGGAGAGGGGTCGACTATCAACCAGAACCTCGACTCTCCAGCCTGACCACAGCTCTGCTTTCTATTCACTGGTGGATTCAATTTTAAAAAAGTATCACTGAGATAAAGATCTCCTTTTTTTTGTGCACAAACAAATACATAGTAATTTTAAAGAAAATAATGACACTCAGTGTTTTGGTTTAAGCGGTTTAAGAGTCAAACATATAGAGTGAAACTCAATAAATTTAGATTGTGTGATTACAAATATGAAGGTGAAATATTTAATAAAGTGACAAGTGAGAAAGAGAATCTAATTTCCTGTGTTTTTGGAGCTGAAGTTATGGTAAACAGCTTATAATTTAAAGCTAGTTTTGTTAAATTTGAATGTAAATAAAGATGCACAGATAATGTTCAAATATGGTCCTGTAATGACATCGTGAGGACTGAATTTCAATGTAACAAGAGAGCAGAGGAAACCAGGTCATTTTCTTAGAAGAGCCTTTTAACACACACATAAACATACATCACAGTTTAGCATCACTGATTGGCTTCACATATGTGCGACTCTTAAAACAAAACACTACTTCTGTGTTTGTTCACCACCTTATTTGCCTCTATGAAGGTTTATTCTCTGGTGGGCCCACTGCCCAACAGACCTGTAGTATTGTTTAATATGTAAATTATGTAACCTGAAACTACTTCTGCAGAAACATAATGTTCATCAGAGGCATCAGAGAGATACTAAAATGTAAAAGCTTGTGTGTAATTTCTGTCAAAACAAATCTGAAGCTGTGGGCATAAAAAAAAAAAAAAACATTTTATGAAACAGACGGGTTCATCTGTTGCCATGGGGTTGTTTGAGTTCATGTTTTGGTCAATGACGAGGACAGCTCACAGGTCAATGTAACTGAATCAATGTTTGACGTGTGAAAGGGTTGTTGTGGAGAAAGAGGCCCAGATGTGTTGCTATGATAAACAGACAGACATAAGGATTTACACTTAGTCAGACCGTGGATCATGTAAACGACAAACAGAGCTGATGCAGGAAATCGGATGACAAACGAAACATGATCTATATGTTAGTGGAAGAAGCTTCAATGCAGAGAAAGCCTCCAATACATGGGCTGCGCACTAACTGCTAGGCTACTGGTGCCACATACATTTACATTTTTGAGCATGGAAGGTGTTCACTACCAAATCCATGCCCTGGAATTGTAACTGGGAATTGTATTAAAAACAAAAAGACATGACCATGCTGTATTCATGTACCTTATTTAATCTGATCTAATCAGCCTCTTAATGCATCGTATGTTGGCCTGAACAAATGAAGTCTCTGATCCTGAATAGTTTTAACAGCTTTAACTCTTCTTCACTGACCTTTCAGGGCCACCGTGATGCTACTGGGGCCTCTGGACATGCAGCGAGAGGGCTGTGTCTCCGGAGCTTCTCCTCCCAGCACTCTCTTAATGTGGCCCATACTGTAGCTGTAGATGGAGTCTGTAGACAGGCCCAGACTGGAAGTGGGGTCCACCTTTGCTACATACACCTGCAGTGAAAAGAATAGAAAAAAGACAGGTGAGTAAATCTGGCTAAATTAGGATTTACAGTGCCCTTTTTGAAGTTCCAGTTCTAACATCTTTACATCACATTACTGTACTGTACCTGTGAAAGGTGACTACAAACATGATCTTTATTTTGGAGTTATGAGCTCCTGTTGAAGAGCCCGTTGGTTTAAGTGAGCCTACAAATACAAATTGAACTAGCTAATCCTCAGGAGTAAGACCTGCCAACTTCTTATGGTTAATTCAAAAATCTATTTCACTCTTAACTGTAACCAACTTGTTTATCTGAGTTTCCACCAGCGTGCAAACGTTGAACTCTTTGAAGTAACAAAGCTAATTGCATGCTACATTTATCTGAATCACAAAGGGAAACATTCTTGATGCAAACTGTACAGACAGTTCAGAGCCAGGTGACTGACGTTGAATGAAGTTGTCTGAAGGAGGCGACTCACCTTGAAGGCCTGGCTGACAGCTGAGTCCAACATGGGCCAGTCCATCCTGCCGTTCACTCGGACTGTGCCCATGAAGAAGTCCTGCTGCTTTACCTCCTGCTGAGACAAAGTGAGCGCATGGGTGAGGCAAAGATTGAAAACCACATCTACAAGTCAGAAGAAGAGAGGATAAGAAATATTACACTTACTTCTTTAAAGACACGTAAATCTGCAACACAAACCACCACTCGAACGCGGTGATCGTCCCTCTGCGAGGAAAGACTGAGAGAATCTGCAGAATGGACGTCTACCGAGGAGGGCATACAAATACAGCAGCAGAAAAAGAAAAGACAGAAGAGAACAATCAACTTACTGCTTTTATTTTTTAGCTAATCAGCACTTAGCTTCTTTAATGTCATGGTCAAAAAAGAACAACATGTTGCACTAAATATCCTGAAGTTTGCTGGGGTCAATTTATGTGGACAAAATCTGTAAACAAAAGTCAATTTATTTTTTCTGGAAACAAAAAACACCAAACTAGGATTTTTACATCGACATTTGACCTTTGACATAACAGAAGGGAACTGTATGTTTTTCTAATAGAAACAATCTAGAACCATTGTGTACATTACAAACATTTGCCCCAATATAATGTGATCATTTAATAAAAATTGTTTCCAGAAACATTTATTTTTATCATACGTCTGCAATTACTATGAGTTATATATGCCGACTTGTTTATGATACAAACGTTCTCACTCTAACTTTGCCAACATGTCCGAGATTGAACCTTACCTGAGCTGCTCCCCTCACTCAGCCCTCTGCTGAAGCTTTTGGGCATGTGCATGGCTACTGACTGCCGAGGTGATGTACCGCCCAGAGCAGTAAGACCTGAGGACTGTGAGACGGAGCTGGAGGGTCCAGGAGAGGGACAGGGGGACAGACTGCCCGTCTTCAGCTGGTCGTTCTCAGCCTTCAGGTTCTCCACTGTCCTCTACAGACAGAATCACAAAGGGTAGAATACATCAGATCGACACTTCCTTTATTTGACTGTTATGGGAATCTTTTTTAAGAGACTTTGATTCAAGATTTTTAATACCACAGTGGAATTTGTTGGAAAATTCTAGTTTGAGCACATTTACTTTCACACCATTTTAAAACAACAACAGACAGACAGGGCACAACACAAAATATTATAAACTTGTAATTAGACAGCAAACTAAAAAATGCGTTTCATAGTTTGCGGCTTCAATCTCAGAACATCTCAAACACTTTGAAATAATATGAACTCAAGTCAGAAACCCAGATTGAAGATAAGGTTGTATCATATAAACAATTCCAATAACTGCACAAAGTCTGCACAAGCGATTACAATTCAAAGTTTGTTCCTTTAACGACTCGACGAGGGAACTGAAAAGTTTGAGGGAGAACACTTGGAGGTAAAAAAAAACGGTTTGAAAAGAGGACATGATAACACACATACCTGCATGCTGGTCATGGCCTCCTGCAGCTGCTCCAGGTGATGGGCTGAGCTCAGAGCCTCCAGGCGAATGTCTGTCAGTTTACGCTCCTTCTCCCACAGCTCTGAACGCAACTCTGTTACGACCTTATCATCCTCCACCTCACCTCCTTCGCTGAGTCTGCACATATTCGCATCAAAAAAGACGTTAGAAAGGTGTGACGATAGGATCAGCATTCTCATGTCTGAAACCTTTATCTAAAAATTGGACAACTCTGGACACGGATCTATATTCACTCTGAACAAAACAAAAAACAGATATAGTAACATAAAAGTTTACATTCCTGTTACATTTTTAACAACTAAGTGTATGAATGATTGCAAGGGAAGTTCACCCTGCTGATGTTGCGGAGTTTGAAGATTTGAGTGAAGAGGAAGGGTACGCTCCATCATGGTGGACTTTGGGTGAGGAAGGTGCAGAGGATTCTGGGGTGGAAATCTCCTCAATATCAGCATACGGCCCTGATGGTTTGGAACCTTTCTTACTGAACGCCTTGTTGAAGGAGCTGCGTAACTGGACAGAGAGGAAATAGAGGTGGAATAAATGGCAGGTCTAAATATTACAGCCGAGTATATCACAATTAACCAGAAATTCTTTAAAACACTTTTTTTTGTGTTTTGCTACTTCTACCAGAAACTGAAAAAATCACTTGTTTTCTGTGAATGAAATGAAACAGCAAAACAGTTTGTGAAATTCATCCCGATGTTAACAATCCGTAACAAACTGTATTACATACCTGTCTCATGTCATGCAGATCATATCAGGACATGAAACTGTGAAGGATTATACTTTATATTTTACATTTAAATACGATTAAACATGATATAAAGAATCTATGAATCATGTTTAGAAATACAACACACGTAAAGTTTCCAAACATTTCACAAGTATGACTCATAAAGTGCATGCAGGCTGGAGGAGAGCAGGGGGGGGTCGGAGGGGGGGGGAAATCAGGGAAGAGGTGGAAATTTACTGTGGCAACATCACTCACCTCAAAGACCTAAAATAAAAAGCAGGGCAGCATGAGGGAGAGACCAGAGTCATACTTAATAACAGACTTGGAACAAGATAGGTGGAGTGTAACACACATACACATGCAGGGAAACAAAGTAGGACAGCGGCAGGCAGAACTACTTCTTTTTCAGATTAATACAGCCTGATACAACCTGCTCCAAGTCTACAGCTCACATACAGTACATATAAACATATTTAATAACATTGTGAGATGCGTTTAGAAATTGTCCTCTTTGAACGTGTATCCTTCTTTTATTTCTCTTCTAATCGTTACTCTCTTCTGATACTCTCTTTTGTTTATGATATTTGATGATTATCTTTTGGGCTTCTTATTACTTTATGATAGAGAAGGGCAGTGGATAGAGCAGGAACCTGCGGTCCGAGCCTGCTCCGAGGACTTTAGCCCGTGTGTAAAAGAAAAATAAACCTTTATTTTAAGACTCAGGAGTGATGTATTTGATGAATGTCGGAGAGGATGGGTGGAGTTATAAAGACACAGAGAACAGAGCTTATGTTGTATCATCATTCCCCTGGTTCTCAGAGACACATGGGTTGTTGTGATTTTATGTTTGTAATATGTCTGTTTTTTATTTGTTTGTTTGTCTTCTAGTTTTGCTCTAAAAAACTGAACATCAGTTTATCCCTAACTTCAATTAAAAGATAATTTCAAAAAAGGCAATGGTAACATATTTGATTAATTACACACTCTAAAAAACTGAACTGTACATTTCAATACCAGAAATGGTTTATTAGCCTCGGCCCTTTACTCTAATTATCTGTCAGGTAAAAGTTAAACCCTGCTAGAATCATTAAAATGTTGATTTTTAAAATCTATTTGAGGTAGCAACACACGACAGCATGTTTTCCTCCTGATGTCCTCATCTCCAGTCTTCTGTTGCTCTTAAAGAGTTAAGACTGATTCCTTATGAAACAGTCATACACTAACAGTTTCTAATCAGTGTGAGCACTAGACTGTTTATTCTTACCCAGCCCTTCTTCTTTTTCTTCTTGGCCTCCTGCTCTTTGAGACTCCCCATACTGGAGTGACTGGTGGTGCTGGCCAGGCTGGAGATGCTTTCTGACGAGTTCTGGCGATTGATCAGCGGTTCTACATGACAGGAGGAAGAAAAAACATTGAATATCAGGGAGGAATATTTATTTAAATACATTTGATCACATTTGGGTTTTTTATGGAGAACAATCCTCATCATGCTGTAGGTTCCAAACTTACCTTCTCCTTTAGGTGTCATGTCCGGATTACTAAGGGCAACATGTATGATTTCTTGGGCCTCTGTGTTCTTGACTTTCAGGATTTCGATGGTGTCTTTCAGGTCATTGAGTTCGGAGTCCTGTATAGAGAATATAATATACATTTATGTTCATGATATCTGAAGCAAGATTCAGTGCCGTGGAATATTTCTCTGCTTTCAAGGAGGCTGACGGGTTGTGTGGAGTAGCTGATGACAACGTCAGTCTGCAATGTAAACCTGTCCTACAAGGTTTTAAGAAAAACGTTTTTTTTTAGCAGCATTTTCAATGTTTGCAACATTTATCAAGATCAGAACCAAAACCATGATACCTTAGTCTCTGAGGAGACTGACAGGTTCTGCAGGCGTGCCGTCATCAGCGCCAGACTCTGCTCGAATGCTGCTACCAGATTAGCCTTCAGAGAAAGACACAGAGGTAAAAGAGAGACAGAGGAGATAAGGGGTTTGAGAGAGCAGACAGGTTATGAGTCACAGGCTTCGGTGAATCGGTCAGAAGCCTCACACGCTCACAGCACATCACGCTAATGGCTTTTCTCCATCTGCTGGGAGAGGAGGGACCGCGGGGTGGACAGCTGTGGATGATGTCAGAGATGAAAGAGGACGTTGGGGTAATGGTGGTGATTGAAGGCAGCTGTGCAGCGCTGAGGAACAAACTTCATCAACATTAACTATTATGTTTGACCTTTAGGCTGCCATGCCAAACACTATTCCTACTGATGATTCAGTGCTAAAGGAGCACTTCTCTAACAATTAACACACCTTTGAGGCTTACATGATTTTAAAAAAAATGGTTGGTAGGATAACACCTCAACTTTCTCTGCTTGGTGTTTTAGATTTATCAGGTTTGAAAGCTGGTCAAATAAAACCAAGAATTGGGAGACACCAGCTTGGGCTACAGAAAATGTAATTCATATTTACCTTTTTTGACATGTTAGAGACTCAATGAGTGGATTAGAGATGAAATGTAAATAGTTGCAGGCCTTGCATACATGCTACAAAAGTGTGTTGATGGAGTCAGCTGTGCCACACAGCAGCCCAAAAGAGATGTCAGGGTGATAACAACTCATCAGCCTGAAGTCCACTCAGAATCAAACACAGGTGACAGAGACACTTGTGGAAGCAAGAGTCCAACAAACCTGGCCTAGCTGCGACACCCAGCATCCAGAGGTGCGGGTCAGCGGGAGGCAGGCAGGCAGGGGACAGCAGTGAGTCCAGCAGTCAAAACAGCCAAGGACGTAAGAGAAAGGGACAGTTGTGTTAGGTGAGGGAGAAAACTTCTTACAGTCAAATTATAGAGAGAAAGACATGAAACACATACAGAAAGATAGGGTCTGTACAGTCACTGGCTAAGTTCCAAACACCAGGATCAGTTGATAGTTTAGCAGATACAGCAGGTTTCATACGAGCAAATAGGCAACTGTTCAGACTGGTAGTCTATAATTCACTCAGTAAAAGTGGTTAGGTGGTGTTAAAGTGAAACTTGAGTGTGATTCAAACAGGACAGACTTAAGCATCTAAAAGCTCCAGTAGTAGACTGCAGGAGGCCAGAAGAATATTTCAGCTGGTTCAGACAAACTTTTAAAAGCAAGTGCAGATGGTTAGGAAGAAACTTTTGTCAACATCGGGTAGCTGAAGGATTTTAACCACAGTGTGGATTTGTGAGTGGCAGTGTGAGAAATTTAAATACGGCATGTTTGCTATAACACCTGAGTGATATTAGGCCCCCTGGTAGCTTGTTGGTCATGCAGCTTTTGCTTGTCAAATTCCCCTCATTGCCTGTCAGACCCCCAATGTTGCTGTCAAGTGAAGGGAGGTATGCTTTAAAATAGATTTGAAAAAAGGCTCCAAGGGTTGGTTAGTTTGTTAATCCTTTACAGACATTGATTGGTTATCCTTACTTTCAGAAAATAAGATAGAAAATAAATATTTTATGCCCATGCAACTACGTAACATCTTTTCGCTCCCACATGTCACTTAGACAAAAATTCAGATTGAAGAAGTGTCTGCATTTCAGTTGGTTGTAGTGTACAAACTGAATGACTTGGTGTAATCAACATTCTGGCTTGATTACAGTGTAATACAAGACCTGGAGTTCATCCAACACATTAACAAAATTAGCTTACAAATTCATACGTACATTGGCAGAAAGCTGCATGGTCAAGTCTGCAACTTTTTCCTGGGAGGATTCCAGCTCTCGTCTCAACTTGCGGATTTGCTGTGGAAAGAAATGTACAAGTGAGCCAAAGCAGTGTGGTCAATGTACACTCCTCAAAATGAACAGCAACAACAGGTTTGGATTATGATGATGCAGAATGGAATGTGATGGATTTTCTTTTTTTGTTAACTAGACAATAACGTGCAAACAACAAGATATGAAAGTAATTGCTTGACAAAAATCTACAGCAGATAAACACACTTCAAACCATTGGGAAATATTAAACCAAAAGGATGAGAGTGGATTTTCACTTTTTTCTCAAGCTCTGAGAATTTATGAGGTTTGACAGTTTCTTTATTAAATGTTAGAAGGTGGTGAAAAGGGACAAAGAATATTAGTTATAAGCACTGTGGGAGATCTCTGCTGACAGACTACACTGAGCACTCATAACAAAATGTGATGAACGGACCTGTTTTTAACAGGAAATGACTGATGGGTGATGCAGACAAAGGGCACAATGTGAGTTGTAGATTTGCGTCACGATGGCCTTACCTCTCCTTGTATCCGCTCCTCACTCTGGAGAAGGCATGGTGAAAACAAATAAACAATAAAAGGACGTTGATGTAGAACTGAAGGAACAGTTGTGAAAACTAGTCATCCACAGTCACAGGATGTAATACCAGGTCCTTAGAGGATACTCAGACTAGGGAGGGCTTTAAGGTCTATGAATTATCATGATCAAAGCAATGTAACTAAACCAGCTGTAATGTAGAAAGTCTGTGCTTAAATTAATGTCTTCATTTGCTTTCTGAATACAGGAAAAAGTGTAAAGTCAATGCATCAAAATACTAACAAAGAGAACACCAAACGGTTCAGTCTTATAGAGTCATTATGCGTCAGTATCTATATTATCTACTCACCGCTGAATAGTTGGATGAAGCATTGGACGCCAAAGAGAGCACAGAGCCATGCACTGAAACAGGCAGAGGAAGAGAAGCCTTTGACTTGGAATATGGAAAGTACTGACTAAATTACATGAAACTGTAAGATATTACCATCAAATACTTCTTACATGTTCATAAACAAAAATGAATGATTTAAATTATTGGCAGAGGGTGTACATGACTGCATCTGGATCTCACATTATTCCTCTTAGTCCTTGCATAACTCCCTATGTATCCTCTACATCTTTTCATGAAAACACAAGTTCTTATGAAATAATGCTTAACAGATCTCCAGCTTTGTTTAATCTGAGACCATCTTGGGCGACTACCCTCGCCAGGCTCACCATCGTCCCCTTGTTCTCGGAAGGACCCGCAGCGCATCATGCTTTTTGGCCGGTCAGCCAGGGACATACTGCTGCCCAGGGGGGAGGATCCATACAGATCGCAGGCAGACTCACTAGGGGGGCCGATGCTGTTTGAGCGTGATATCCTCGGGGTGCCACTGGAAATTGGGGCAACTGTCATAAAAGAGAGATGTTTGTGAAGACGGTGATTAACAGAAATAAAACTGCAGAATGCAGTGCAGAAGAGAAACCCACTCTCAGTGTTACCCCCCCAACACACACACACACACACACACACACACACACACACACACACACACACACACACACCAGGACTGGCACCCTTTTCTTGATGACTAAGTGAAAGGCAACACTACGATTCCAGAACAGTCAAAGAGATAAATATAGCCCTGCTTGACCCCCTCCAGCTCCCCATCTGCAGCATATTTCAGACTTTAACTGAAGTCTTAATGAGTGTAGATATGGGACAGTAATTTTCACAGTCAATCTGATAGCATTTTAATTTGATGTTAATTTGTCATTCAGACATGAGTTGATGTAAAATGACAACTTGTGACAACCTCTCTGAAGTGTAAAAACTAATCCAGACCTTCCTCTCAGTGGGGTCTTCATATCCCCATCCTCAGTAATAATCAACGATAAGTCACACAGCTTATCAAAGGTCTCAAGTTTCATCAGTTTCAAATCCCACAGAGTGAGGGCTTTAGGAGCTTGGCAGCCAAACGGAGCGAGCAGACTCACCCACGTTGGTGAGAGGAGCCTTGCCAGAGGAGGGGAGGAGGTGGCGGGTGGGAGAAGGCAGCTGAGGGGGGCTATCGCTCTCTGTCATGCTCATTATGGTGTGGGAGTGGCGTCTTCCCGGTTTGCTTCCATCACTATCTGACAGGCTTGAGCCATAGCGTCTGAGGGAAAAAGAGGTCATTTTAACTTCAGACAATGAAGACAAATCCCAGTGTGAGATTTCAAATAGATGCTTAGACATGAATCATGCTGACTTACTCTAGGCCTTTCTTCGGTAAGGTATTTCTGTCTGTTTGCAAGCTGTAAAGAAGAGAATAAAACATGATCAATAGATAATAAACAGTGTATGTGTACGGCTCTTAACAGCATATTATAACCATTACTATCATTCTGGTTTTGTAATAAGAAATTAATTCTATTAGGATAAACATCTTATCTTATCCTTTTGTGTATCTATCCCATGTTGCTCACTGGGCACTTTCATACACAGCGTGGGATTGCCTTAAAGGACGTTCTTTTGGCAGGAAGTAATTTAGACCATCTCCACCTTGACATCCAGTAATTTCAGATTGATCCAAAACTCAATCTTCTAAATGACACATCGGGGTCTCGTACCCAGAAAAGGCTCTTAAACTTTGGTACGTCTTCTGCCAAAAAACGTACAGCCCTCTGAAAAGGGTGGCTCAACTGCCTCATGAGCTTTCTGATTCCCACACCAACCTGCTGCTTTGATAAAGCCAGTGATTATAGGTAAGGTGCAAAAGTTGCTGTGACAACAGTTGGGTTGAATGAAAAAGTGATTTGTTTTGACAGTCTTATATCAGTGTATGTAACACACACTCTCCCTTTTATTCCTCGTGTAGGACAGGAGGGCTGAATTGTCTTCAGAAAATGTTGTACTACCACTGAATATCAAGTATCAAACAACTCGATTTTATAGATTGTTCTTCTATCCCTGTGTGTTTAAATAGTTAGCCTTTCATCTTCTCTCTTCTGATCGTGACCTGTAAACTGCACGTGGTATTACTCTAACACGAAACCCTCCTCCTTATTCCTTAAAACTGTCTAATGTACAACTCTCTGTGGACCTTCAATACTTTTCGATCCCCAGTGGTTTAAAACGAGGCATGATCGATATTGTAATGAATAACATTATAGAATAGTAAGTTTAGCAGAAATCAACCGATCTTCAGTCATAATTTTCTAACCCAAAGCTCCCACAAGCAAAAGAGAGAGAGAGAGAGCAGCTGTGGTTCATTCAAATCACAGTCAGCTAATAATGACATTGGTCGAGTCCTTTCGGCATCTCTTAAGATGAAAAAGTTAAAAAATTTTGTCTCCCAAACAGACCGAGGATAGAGGAGGTGACCTTGTCTAAATTGCACAAAAACAAAATGTTGCCAATGCATTTGTGCAATTTAGGCATTGTGCAGGAGTTTGCTTTGAATTTATTGATTGACTGATAAAAATAAATGTTCTCATTTAAGGTGCCTAGGACTTCTACTTTTTGTTGCCGTGGTATCAAAGCAGGTTTTTGTAATGCTTGATTTTGACTAGTATTGTATTGAAGTTTGAAATTCTGGTATCATGAGAACTGTTTCACAAAGGGTTTGTTTGCTCTGTGTTGTAAATTGCTGCTTCATAACCAGATGAATCCCATCATTACAGTTAAAGGTAGAAACTCGTTACTTGCTTGTTGATTTTGATTCTTCTGGAGGTGAAACTTACCTATCTGGTAGGTTGAGTGATGTCCTGCTTCCTGCTCCCCAGGTTCCTGTACCCCTCTCTTCATTGTTATGTGACTCATGTTTGACAAACCTGGCACTAGAAGGCACGCTCATCTGCAGGGGCAGGGACTCCATGCTGCGGTGCATGCCGGTCAGCTTGGGGTAGAGCAGCGGGGATCCGCTCAGACTCAGGCTTTCACTGGTGTAAGAGCCTGGGGAATCGATGTGGAGCACAGGCGCTGGGCTGGGGGTGAGGCGGGAGGAGGTGTGGGAACCTGCCAAGTCCTGTAGCTTGGAGTATGGGGGGACTTTGGGAGGGAGGTCTTGGATGGTCACACAGGAGTCAAGACTGTTGGAGTTGACCTTGTCCAGATGAGCCAAGCTTGGAGGACGACCCAGAGACTTAGTGTTCAGCATCCTAGGAATCAGGCATACAAAATATAATAAAATACTGGAAACTAGGGGGAATTCCACAACAATTCAACAACAGTTTATGTGGCCTTTGCTCATTTATTTGACTGATCAGTACTCCTATCAGTTCATTTTCCAGTGCAACCTCTAACAATGTCTTGCCTGGCAGAAATGTGTGATTATATTTGCCAAGGCTTCGAGTCATTGGTCTCTTTAGACTTCTGCCTGTAAATTTATTTCAACATCATAAATCCACAGCAACAATGTTCCCTTTCCTCTGGAGCATTTCTTCCATAGAAAGGTCTATAAAAATGGTCCTGCTGGTCATTAAGAGTATCTGGGGCATTGTTTGTGGAAAGAAATATTGCTGTTGAAATTTTTAAGATGTCAGTTCTAAATCCTGTGGGAGCCACAACTTAACCACCACTGTAATGGTGGTGTGTTGAAGGGTTGGAGACATCCTGAATATATCCAACCAACATGATGAACATCCATGGCTAGATACTTCTTGAAAATATAACATATTGGACAAATGAAAATATTAATAAGTAGTAATTAATATCCAGTAATCCAGTAATATCCAGACTCCTTACCACCAGCATTACAATGGAGTCATCGTTATCATCTGTATCCATCGATTAGTAAAAATTAGTACAAAGTGTACATAGTGTTGCCATCATTAGTTCATAATTATTCAAATAATATATTTTTTAATCATTTGATTTTCTCTACTCTGACTATTTTTTAAAAGACAATTTCCCCCATTATGTTAATAAATAAACTGCATTTTATGAAATATGTAAATGAGACACCTTGGTGTGGTGGGAGATGACAGTTCAGGGTATTTGCTGCTGCTGGTCCGTCTCAGGCCGTGAAGTTTCAGAGACGACTCTCCTGTGGACCGACTCTCCTCTCTTTTCAGAGAACCACAGTCCATGTCAGCACCCACAGCCTTGGCCTTGGCCCTCTCCTTCTCCTTCTCTCTGTCTGTCTGGTTCACTGGGCCAGTGCTTCCTCGATTGGCCATCTTACTGCTACTCGGTTCTTTAACCCTGGGGCATGTGGAGGCTATGGGGACAGGTTTAAAAGTCAACATGCTGGGGTCAATGGTACCGCTGGCAGGCCGAGATGAGGGCCGACCAATCACACTGAGCGTGCTTGATTTGGCTGGTCGAGGCAGGCTGCGGTACTGAATGCTGTTCCGGGCACTTGGCCCCAAAAAGCCCTGCTCGCTGCTGGCATCGAAACTGTTCTTTCGACCCGAGGGTGGTCCTCCTCCCACAGGCTTCACAGGGATGCCAGATGACTTGGGGGTTTTCCCCAAAGTAGCAGAGCCGCTTGAGATGGTGGCTCCCCCTGCTGTCATCAGAGTGGCGGTACCAGTGGCAGTTGGTGGTTTCTTGTAAAGATATGAAGCTCCAGCAGTGGGTTTAACTAGACCTGACGGGGGCTTGCGATGTTCGCCATGGTGATCCCTGCCAGCGTCTGAACGAGAACGCTGCAGACCAGCAGTTTTGATGGAAATCTTGGACTTATCCAGGGGCTTCTCACTTTTGGGTGCTACATAAAGAAAGACAGTGGATTTAAATGTCAGTATGGACATTTTAGAAACAAATAAGCCTGATAGATTAAACATTTAAAGGCGTACATGATAATTAAGGACAACACTTAAAGGAATCAAACGGATTAAACCTGCAATCTCATACACCAACTAAGAATTGTACAAAAGTGGAGCGCGCTGGTGGCGCAATGGTTAGGGCGTGCGTCCCATGTGTTGAGACTCTCATCTCGAGCGGTAGGCCCGGGTTCGCTTTCCACATGTCATTCCCCGTTCTCTCTCCCTGGTTTCCAACTCTATCCACTGTCCTATCTCTGCATTAAAGGCACGAAAAAGCCCAAAAAATAAATCTTAAAAAAAAAAAAGAATTGTACAAAAGTGTCCATTAGAGCTTTGACAAATCACAAGGCAGGAACCCCTTGATTTACTCAAGAAAGGGTCTTATGTAGCAGACCCACAATGACTAGCACACTGATTTAGACTTTAGTGGCTCAAATACGGCTATGAAAAAGTTACAATTTTACACAAGACCAACCCAAGTGATACAATCAATCCAAATGCTTTGTAAGGATCATTAAAGTAAAGCACAGAGATGTAAATTCCTTGGATTAGTTAAAAGATACAAGCTAAAGGGTTAAATTGTTTTAATCTTGGCTGAAGGAAGAGATATATTTATAGGACAAGAATCATAATAATTCTGCAATGAGGACTTTTCCCCCCTTTAAATACTGCAACCAGAATGCACACAAACAGTTCTGATTTAAATCACTTACGCTTACAGTTGAAGAAACTAAAATATAAGGACAAGCAATGTTGCCACTGGAACTCTTTTTTAAATCACTTAATGGTGGCCTGTTTTGTTGGGGATTAAATAAATGGAGCTGCTGCTGATTGCAGACATCGAGTCTCTGCAGGCTTTTAAACAAACAGGCTTCTTTCTGATATAACAGCAGAAAAATAACTTTGGCCTGCAAGCTGAGATTTAGGTTTTTTTTCCAATGAAATGGATTTCATGGTGCATTTTTCCCTCCAGCATGCTTTGCTGTGCTTCAAATCAAAACCTGGCTTATGCTAAGGGGTGTACTTCTGTATTCATCTTGACACCAAGCAGATATCCGCCTTGGCTGCTTTACAAAAAGGCTCTGTTTTACATTTAGACCCAGTTTACAGGGAAATAATGGGTGACATAGATTTTGCTGTTGAAACAGTTGTATTACACTAAATCCAAACAGGGGAGGAAAGGCAGACAAAAGGAAAGGACAGAATACAGATATACAGAATACAGATGTTAAAAACAGGATACCTGCAACTTTCAAAGTGCTCTGAGAGGTATGTGTGATGGGGGAGGTCACGCCTATCGGAGGATTACGAGCCTTCTTGAAACTTCCCGGTTGACCCAAACTCTGAGGTTTCTTCAGCTCGCCTTTACAGCCAAAATCTTCACTGAGACTCGGGGGCTTCTTCCTCCACTTGCTTGGGGCCTCCGTCTTTAGACTACCCGTGTCAAAACTGCTGCCATCGAGCTTATGGCAGGCCTTTCCATCCTCACTGTACCAAGAAAGTCCACTTTCCACCAGGGAGCGCTTCTCTGCATCAGTGCGGAGCTGCAGAGGGAAAAGGGGGGGAGGGAGGGAGGGAGGGAAGAGGCACAGTGTGAGTAACACTCAGTCATGGTCTGTGTTATCTATGGAACAGTTCTCTGTAATCTTTGTTTCATCTTCGCTGCATTCCTGCGAGAAAGAGGGAGATAGGCTGATATGCCCCGAGTGGATTAAAGAAAAACACAGAGGAAGAAAAGATTTTTTTTTTTTTTTTATGGATTGAACACTTTCATAGATGAATAGAAAAAATGAAGAAAAATACACAAGAATTCAGGGGAGACGAGAGCTTGAGTATGTATTTGTATGGCTGTGCTGGGGACTAAAAAAAGACCGCTACACTGTTATATAAAAAACTATCATGTGGTGACCTGAGGAGGTGGCACAGAGGACAAAATTGGGCATGTTGCTTTTTGGCACCCTGTTAATATAACATAGAGTGACAGATGGCTCATTGAGTAGCACTAATGTTCATGTCTTCCTACCGAGCAGCCTGTAAGTGAACAAGAAGTCAAAATGACTTCCTGTGAGAGAGGTAGAGAGCACAAGGACTTATCCAAAAAGAACACAAATTTCAAAAAATGAAAGTGTCTTCAACTTCTTGATGTCTAAGAACTACATCTTTATTACTCCTTTAGAGTGCAGTTAAGAGTGTGTGTGCATTGAATGTTGCATGGGATACCATAAGATGCAAATTGTACCATAATTTACTTCAAACTAGTGGTCATGTCATTGAATGATATTCATAAACTTAGGGTGAGAACAGAAACATGTCATCTAGCTGAAAGAGCCTTTTAATGTCAAATTTTGCACATACCATTTACACTGAAGCTGTAAAACTTACAAGTTAACAATAACCAATACATAGAGACAGGCTTCATGGCTCTGTGAGACTACCGGAAATTTATATGTAATTTTCTTCATAGAACAAAAGGAAAACAGCCATGGTTAAGATTTATAGCACTCTGTTTTCTTGAGTTCAATGACAGCAGTGAGGTCTGGGGTTTCTTTCTGTTGCCATGACAAAACAAAGGACTCCCTTTTGAAACACACAAAACAGGCAAAATCACAGGGTGAAGCACCGAGAATGTTCATATAAATCAGTTTTTGGCATTTAAACACTGCTGTTACTAAAATACACAAGAAAAGGAAAGTCGAACCATGTCACAAGCTGTTAGGTTCAGTATTTCAGCTCACCATAGCAGAAGAGTTGCGTCTGGATCCCAGCGGAGTGCTCGGGAGGGAGTTCAGGGAGGAGCTGACGTTGAACTCCTCTGAACTGAGGTTCTCTGAGCCATCGCCTTCGCCGTCACTGAGCCCACTGCTGATGGAGCTGCTCTCGTCCCAACTGAAGCAAGACAAAAAGCATCATTTAGCAAAAAGGTGCTGCTGTTATCAAGTTAATAGCGACCATACTGTTTGAATGAACATTGGGTAAAGCAGCAGAAATCTTTGCTCAAAGGGCGAAGAGGCTGGCAGCAACAGGGCTATGTCCATCTGTTTGCAGTAAGCTGTCTCTGGAGGTGGTCACATGCTCAAACAAGCAGGTAATTTCAACATGGCTGCAGCTGCTTTGATTTAACTAACACATCAGAGCCACAGATCATATGGTAACCAAAGCTTAAAGAGAGGATCTTGCAGTTTTAATGCAATAAAGTTTTTGTTTTACTTATCTGGATGACCACCACACATAGGTTTCCAATACTTTTGGAGCATGAACTACAGAGTAGCACGTGATGATTCCCCACTACTGCCCAACACTGAAGTTAGTGTAAATAAGCATGCTTGCGCAATAACAGAAAAGTCAATACCATAAACATCTAAATATGATACTGTTTCAAGTTCATGCCATGACCGATGTAGCATTACGTTTGGTGCTAATCAAAAGGACATTCTATCTCTTAGAATAGTTAACTAAATTTAACAAACTGCATTTGTCATAAAATCATATTAAAGGACTGTTTTAAGCTTGTACTGTATTTTCTAGTCTACTGACTAATCACAGTGCTTTTACACCACAGGTCACACCTAACCATTCACACTGATGACAGAGTGTAAAGTGTCCATAAATAGTAACTAATCCCATTTATACACATTTGTAAATGCCGCCAAAGCAGTTCAGGGTTAGTGTCTTGCCCAAGGACACATTGGACATGATCCTGTAGGCTGTAGGGGATCGAACCCGCAACCTTCTGGTTGAGAGACGACTGACTCTACCAACTGAGCCACAGCCAACCACAATTTGTGATTGGCATAAGTATAAGCAGAGTCTGGAGTAATCTCTTTGACTCAGTCACAGGCTAGATTCACAATAATATGATAAAAACCTACAGCCAAGCAGATTTTACCTGTCAAAAGAAAATAAAAAACAATTTCTAGAAGATTGCTTGTCTCCTTATGAATATCAAGGAATATCAAGACATGATATTTAGTAAGCCTTACACAAGCAGCAGACTGCTGTCAGCAAGGTATCTGAAGTCCCATAAAGAAAACTGTGATATGTGGTGGCTGGCATTCCTGTGCGCCTGTGTACACACAACTATCATGTGGGGGACAGCCCTTTAAGATTTACTCTACAAACACAATAACTGTCTGCATTTGGCGCCTGGTCGGTGTAAACCATGGACCTGGTTCTAAGATTTTTGGTAACACTGGTGTAACACCAGTGATGAATATACTGCACTACCGTTTTCTTTTTTATAAATAACTATTTGAACAGCACTAAACTTGTTATTTAAGTCATAAAGTTTTGAGCTTTCTTGACCAGATAAAAAACACATTTCATAAACTTAACAAAGCTAAAAGATTTTTGCAAACATTTACAACTTATTTGGGAAAACTCAAAACTGTAAGTAATCATGAGTTATCATTAAGAGCAAGTTTTGAAAACACTCACTATGACTGCAAAGCTAGCAGATTTCAAACAGGGTCCAACACACACACATTGTGTAGCTGTAGCTTTTTACAGCACTCTAGCTTAAAAGGGAAACTTTACAGCCTGTGCTGATATATCATGCTGCATAAAAAGTATGGCGACTGACAGCTCTGGGTTTAGACAGCGGTCTGGTTTGCTCTAAAGAGGCAGGATGAGGGGAAGTCGGAGTGACAGGATACTAAACCCTCGCTGACCTTTCCCTCCACCCCACAAAGAAGCGCTGCATCGCCCTGAAACAGATGCTGCCAGTCTGGCTCCTCATGCAAAGAAGAGCTCAAACAAACTGCTCACCGGACATCAAGTCTCTGGATGGATTCATATTTGAATACATTTAACATGCAGCTATCACTGTGAGGCCGTAAACAAAAGGTGTAGCATCTCAGTCAACCAAAATATTAGAAAGAAAGGACAGAAGGGAAGAGAAAACAAAATAAAGAAAACTGTGTAAGTTTGAGGTTGAAGAATGAAACTGTGCTTAAGAAAAGCAATTATAGATTTTTGACTTTGAAAATTAGATCTCCAGAGAGATATTGTTTCAAGTCCAACTCGGATTTGTGTAATTACGTTCCCGGTCATTACTACTGGCAACCACAAGTGGTAATCAAATTTATGTTGGCGAAGAAAAATGTGGCACAGAGGACAAGGTAAATTAATAAAACGATTTTAAAGCTGAGTCACTGCTTCAGCTGAATCAGTTCTTTTCCCTTTCTTTTGCTTTCCCCGCTGAGCTGAAAATGCTCTCTGCGGCTCGGCAGCCTGCAATTAGCAGAGGCATGGAACATGGAAGTGCATAAAAAATACTGGGAGACAAAAATGGCCCATACACGTTCAGATTGGATTTAATCACATGGCTACAGTTGAGCTGTGTTGTATAACAGAGAAGGAGCTTGACACTTCGCACTGTTTTTTTTGTTTTTGTTTTTTTTAGCGTTTGGATGAATAAAAATAAAACCTTATTGATTTATGATAGGAGATAAATAAGCTTAGAGGTGAGGTTTGACAAGAGGAGTGGAATACTTTGAAATGAATGTTTGGTTTGAGAATTTCAGGATGTTTTCACACACCATCAATAAAGGGGAATTAATTTGATTTACATTCAGCCACACATGTTCTCGGTATGTTAAAACAAAACCCCCTCTGTCAAGGGGGGCATGAATAACCACTTAAGGATGTCAGCCTAAGAGAAAGCAGGAGGACCAGTGATATTACAAGCCAAACTGTCTGCTCTCCGAGGTGAAATCCAGACAGGGAGAGGGTGGGAGTACACCAGCAAAGTGCATACTTTGTACATTGGGTGGCAATTAATATGTTGTTTTCTGTGGCACAACTCCAGCATCTCTCTGATTTGTGCATCAGGGTGATTATTCCTTGTCAGGATGCTGTGAGAATGTTTGGATTTAAGAGGACTGTAAGGAAATCTTGGTGTGTTTGGTTTAGAGAAAAAGGGTGGGGACATAAGAAATCACTGTCCAGGCGGCTTGGATCTGGATCTGACAACATCTCTAAAAAAGCACCAAATGGACATGGTGCAGCATACTGCTCACAGACAGATGAAGAAAAAGTACAGGCATATACGATATACTGCACTGATATATTTTAGCAAGGAAGAGATGAGACTTAGAACTTTAATTTCTACATTCATATCTAAAATAAGAATAAAAGCTAAAGTTTAAAAAGTGTATCTTGCCATTCACTTTAGGCACCGTCTATTTGCTGCACAGGACAGCAAGGACAAGGCTCCTTATTGGCTGCAGGCTTATGGCAGAGTGAGGTCTTCTAGACATCCTCTATTATAGAGATAGCTGTGGTAGCAGAGTTGCACTGTCATCCAATAATGAAATGTGTTGCCACAGATGTTATAATTTCGGGTATCAACATACTCCCTTGCCCTTTCATTGAGTTTTGCCAACATAATGCAAACGTGTAACTCTAGACTGTGTCACGTATGCAATAAAAAATGGTCATTTTTTTTCTTAAAAATTAAAGTGTCTTCAAAAAGAAACAGAATAGGCAGTGAAATCAGCCGATTTGAACACCTATTAAAAGGTAGCTAATCGACTAATGTTATTTTCCCCTCATTGTATAACCTACCTAGTAAAAAGTCAAGTCATGTTTAGCCGAAAATACTAAAACCTATCCAACAACATGAACAAAAAAAAACAACAAGGACAAACCTAAAAACACCCAAAGACGCTATTTAAACGACTTTAGATAAATATCATTCATATCTTTACCTTGGTGTAAAAAGTAAAGTCCTTCGAGCCCGCGGCGCTGACCGCAGAGGAGGCACTTTCCCAACCAAAACACGACCGCTCATTTGTGACCTTTAATTGGAGATCACAACTTCCTTGAATTATCCGTAATGTGTGCGTGTGTCCGGAGATTCAAATTCATGTCCTCCCCGAGCTGAGACTACCTTTTTTTTCCTCTCTCTCTCTCTCTCTCTCTCTCTCTCTCCCCATTCAGTGAGCAGAAAGAAAAGAGCAGTGCGCTGCTGGACAGGCAACACCCCCCTCTCATAAAAAAAAAAAAAAAAAGGAGAGAAAGAAAGAAAAAAGGGAGGCAGGGATGACTTAGACCAGAGAGACCCCGATGCTCCTCAGAGAAATGATGGCCAATGGCTGTCGGACTGCAGTAACCATGGTAACACCCGATTCTCTCCTGGGTGACACTTTGTAACCATAATCAATTAAGGGTAAATTGATAGTTAATAGTTTATAATGTTTGCTAATTATTTGTAATGCTATAATTTATGTGATGTTAACAGTTTATTGTTTCACACATTATAGGCTAACATTTAACACACTAGGCTATATAAAGTGTTTGTTAATGATTACCAAATGATTTGTAAACCTTTAAATAGACCATTTATAAAACATCTATAAACCTGATATAGCCTACATACATGGACCTGATATTCTTTCATCTGTTTCCATACAATTGGACCAGTTTTTGCAACCAGTGTGAGTACACACTGTTGGCCGTTTACAATCCAGGTTAAAGGCACTTCTGCATTGGTTTTGCTTTTGAAACCAAGAGGCGACATGCAGTTTGTCCACCACTTACAGTTAATGGACACATACTGGAAACTAAAAGTCAGGATTCAAGATTTCTTAATCCTCTGCAGATTTGATTACCCTTCAAAATCCCTCTTCTATGGGTTAAAAAAAACTTCACAGGAGTGGCAATATTCTACTGGACCTTAAACGGTTGAGTGAGGATGGACTTCTGCAGGCCTATGGCTTAACATTAGATAGTAACCCAAAAAAAGTACTGGGGGAAAAAAGACAGATGTAAAAACAATAAATGCCAGCTGCTTAGGATTCCAGTGTTGCTCAGTGTCTGCAGTGGACAAGTTTTCCAGATTCGTTTATAAATTAGTGGACATGCAGATATTAATGTTGCCAATATTT